TAGCTTTTGGAAGGCATCTTTTACTGTCCTAGTATGCTTTTTCTATTGTTTTTAACGAAATTCTCCTGTTTCTTAATACTTTGCTTAGCTTTTGGAAGGCATCTTTTACTGTCCTAGTATGCTTTTTCTATTGTTTTTAACGAAATTCTCCTGTTTCTTAATACTTTGCTTAGGCTTTTTTGGAAGGCATCTTTACTGTCCTAGTATGCTTTTTTCTATTGTTTTAACGAAATTCTCCTGTTTCTTAATACTTTGCTTAGCTTTTGGAAGGCATCTTTTTACTGTCCTAGTATGCTTTTTTTCTATTGTTTCTAACGAAATTCTCCTGTTTCTTGATTCTTTCCTTAGCTTTTGGAAGGCATCTTTTACTGTCCTAGTATGCTTTTTCTATTGTTTCTAACGAAATTCTCCTGTTTCTTAATACTTTGCTTAGCTTTTGGAAGGCATCTTTTACTGTCCTAGTATGCTTTTTCTATTGTTTTTAACGAAATTCTCCTGTTTCTTAATACTTTGCTTAGCTTTTGGAAGGCATCTTTTACTGTCCTAGTATGCTTTTTCTATTGTTTTTAACGAAATTCTCCTGTTTCTTAATACTTTGCTTAGCTTTTGGAGGGCACCTTTTGCTATCCAAATGCACCTTCGGATTTCCATGTTATACTCAGTTAAAACACTACCCAGGTACTTAAATGCTTGTACTTGTTTGATTTTGGTTTTCCTAATTTGTAATTTTTATACTGAACTGTCTGGATTTTTGCTGATAACCAGGGTGGGGGTAAGTATTTTACGCTGCCAACCGAATGGAAGCTAATAATACTAAATAATATAGAATATATATGCCGACACGATAAACTGGCGCCTCATCTGCATTGATGGCTATGTAGGAAGTGTGGACTTGAAGTCGACAGGACACGGTATCACCACAAGCCAGAGAAGATGAGCGGGAACGAGCAAGTCAGGATCTTGTGGGATTTCAACGTGCAAACAAACCGCAACTTTGGGGCCGCCAAACTAGTGACCGTCATTTGTTGAAAGGAAATAAGGTTCCTTAATCGTCTTCAAAATCTTCCTTGGGAAGCCATAAACACTTAAGGTCCACTTTTTGCTTAAAAAAAAAAAAACTAATAATACAGCCATGTTAAAATAAATTTCGGGATCACCATCAGCTGTTTCTTTGCGATTCTTTTTATCTCATCAATCTAGGTGCAAGGCTGCAAGTCGCATTGCATCAAATCTGAGCGGAGGTTAGGACCAACAGATCTTCTTGGAGATATGATGGTTTTCAAAAAAGAAAGAAAAAAAAACAGATCCGGATCGAGCATTAAGTAAAATCTGGCAAATTATCATGGCGATCCATCTGGGGCGTTTCCCTTAAAGTTTGAGCAATTGAGGAGCGTTTTCGCTTGCGCTGAAAAGTATCCCCCCCCCCCTTAAGTTGGTTACTAAGTTGCATCAAGATATCAGTTTATAGGATATTCGAAGTGTCTAGAAAGTGTCCAGGTAGCTCTCGTGCCTAATGCCCTGCTGTTTTGAAATTTTCAGTGACACACGAGAGATCACGGGTGGTAAGGGTAATTTTGACAGTCCCTATTTTAAATTAAACTTTACTTATCTCACCTTAACTGACTTTCATTTCTCAGCTTATCTTTTTCTGTTGAACAGATCACCCTCCCTCGAACAATAGGTTAGAATAGAAAAACTACTATCATTCGCCAGCTTGGCAGAATAAGGTTAATTTGTATCAAATCATGATATCAAACGAAAAAAAAAAAACGTAGAAATGATTAAAAATATATATAATAATACAGAAAAATAAAAATAAATTAAAATGAATTAAAGTCCGATTTACGGCCTGTCGGTCGCAATCAATCGTGGTCATAAGATAAAGACGAGGACTTGTATTATCTGTGTAATATCGTTATATTGTCAGCGGTTTGGATGTGTTTATTTCTTTTAAACGAGTTGTTACCCAAGCTCAGAGAAGAGTGTCTACCCAGCCAGTTAACTATTTTAGAAAATAAATACCATGTCACTTCAGGGTGTAGGTGATAATGGCTCTCCAGAGATTCCCTTTGTATATTACCTGTTAATTTCTATGACTCCTTACGAAAGACAGTTCAGTGATTTCTCAATTTATCTATCACAATCGCCTCAAATCTATCTATCTATCTATCTATCTATCTATCTCTCTCTCTCTCCTCTCTCTCTCTCTCTCTCTCTATATATATATATATATATATATATATATATATATCACATTTCTTCAAATATCTATTACAGTCTCTTCAAATCTATCTATCTAACTTTATATATATATATATATATATATATATATATATATATATATATATATATATATATATATATATCACAGTCACTTCAAATATCTATCACAGTCTCTTCAAATATCTATCACATTCTCTCCAAATCTATCTATCTATCTATCTATCTATCTATATCTATCTATCTATCTATCTATCTATCTATCACAATCTCTTGAAATATCTATCGCAGTCTCTTCAAATCTCTCTCTCTCTCTCTCTCTCTTATATATATATATATATATATATATATATATATATATTCGGTTTGCAAAAATAATGTCGTTTTTGACGTTCATTTTAACGTCAAAAACGACATTATTTTTGCATTCAATATAATATATATATATATATATATATATATATATATATATATATATATATATATATATATATATCCATCTGTCTATCACAGTCTCTTTAAATATTTATCACAGCCCCTTCAGATCTATCTATCTATCTATCTGCCATGAACCTCGTAGCACTTTTGAGGCTTTCCGTAATCAAATTATTCCTAATCGAAGGACAAGCTGTACGCCAATCATCTGTATCCCGAAGAAGGCTTGGTTTTCTGTCTGGAATTTTCTACCCTTTGAAGACCAAGTGCCCCCAACGCTTATCAGCTCCACCTACCCGGGTTTAAAATGAGAATTCTCCTTGGGTTTCGGATTCCAAGCGAGACCAATCCAGTTGCCGACAATTTTCTCCAGAATCCCCACGCTAATCGGTTCTATCTAGCCGGTTTTGGAATGAAAATTCTCCTTGGGTTTCGGATCCCCGGCCATACCAATCTAATCAAGCGACAATTACCCGCGCTTAAACGACCACAAGTCGCCAGGCTTATCTGTTCTATCTAGCCGGGTTTGAAATCAGAATTCTCCATGGGTTTCGGATCCCAAGCCAAACCAAACCAGTCAGCCGACAATTTCCACCTCTTAGACGACCACAGGTCCCTACTCTAATCTGTTCGATCTATCCAGGTTTCAAATGAGAATTCTCCTTGGGTTTCAGATCCCAAGCTAAACCAATCCAATCAGCCGACAATTACCCCTGCTTAAACGACCACAAGTCACCAGGCTTATCAGTTCTATCTAGCCGGGTTTGAAATCAGAATTCTCCTTGGGTTTCGGATCCCAAGCCAAACCAATCCAGTCAGCCGACAATTTCCTCCGCTTAAACGACCACAAATCCCCACGGTAATCAGTTCCATCTAGCCGGGTTTGAAATGAGAATTTTCCTTGGGTTTCGGATCCCCAGACAAACTAATCCAATCTGCTGTCACACTCGAATGGCAGGTTGAGAGCTGATATTGCTATTGCGCTGGTCACTCGCTCCTATGCCGCGTTCGTCACGGCTCTGCTGCGTGTCTCTCTCGACAGGAACACACCATCTTTCCAGGTGCAGTGGTACGACTACGGAATTAAGAGACACCTCACGGCAAGCAAGAGATGTCGTGTTTTTTTTTGCCGATTCGTAGATCTGAATTCTTTTTGGTTATTCTTATTCATCATGTATATCGGACGGAAGTCTTTTTCGAAACATGGTATTGTGGGTTCATTGTATTCACTTACTTGAGGTCAATGGCAGAATTAACGACTAAATATTGCTGTGCAATGGTCCCAACGCGCAACCATATTGATACCTGGCAATTTAGACATGTTAAAGATAAGTGCTTCCTTTAAGTGAAAAGCTGAAAGCACTCGACTTAATAAAAAGGAATAAAGGTTGCTAAAGTCGACGGGGAATGGCATTTTGGAGAGTCTATCTCCAGTATCAATAACAATACTAACATTAAAGTCTTATATTGGTTACATATGCACCACATTTACTTGGAGGTTCACTTGACATTCAGTTAAAGGTTGCTAAGCTCAGCTGGATAATGTCATTTTGGAGATTCTATGTTCAATGATATTAATAGCATTAAAGTCTCATATTGGTTACATTAACACCACATTTACTCGTAGGTCAACTTGCCACCTTTTTAAATGTTGTTAAGCTCAACAGGATAATGTCATTTTGGAGGTTCTATCTTCAGTAAAAGTAATAACATTAAAGTTGTATATTGGTTACATCAGCATCACATTTACCCGTTGGTTAACTTACCACTTAGTTAAAGGTTACTAAGCTCTATGGGTGAATGTTCTTTTTGTAGATTGTATCTTCCATATCAATAATGTTAATAGCATTAAATCTCATATTGGTTACATTAACACCACATTTACTCGTAGGTTAACCTGCCACTTATTTAAAATTTGCGAAGCTCAGTGGGATAATACCAATTTGGAGATTCTATCTTCAATATCAATAATAATAATAATAATAATAATAATAATAACATTAAAGTCTTATATTGTTTATAAAGTCTTATATCGTAGGTTAACTTGCCCCTTATTTAAAGGTTGCTAAGCTTTACGGATGATACGGCTTATCAACCATTTGCCGGCTATTCAAAGCTAGAAAATAATTTTAGATTGTAAGATTATTTTTTTTGAGATAATAATGTTTTAGTGATACAGGTTTTACTAATTAACCCATAGCTGGAGGAGAAGAGGCGGATATATATCTTTCCCATGGATATTTGCTCGTAACGGAATATAACGGATCCAACTGGAATTGGAACTCGGCTCCCTAATTAAAAGATTTCGAGCGATTATCCATTACACCAACCACACATGCAAACTTATAGCACTTGGTATTCCAAAGCGGTCACCCGTCTAGGTACTGATCAAGCTAGACGTTGCTTAACTTCTGTGATCGTACGGGAACCGGTAGTTCAATGTGATGTGGCCGTAACCCCGGTCATTATCACGAACGTTAATGTTGTCAGGATCACAAAGAAAAAATTATTACGTTAAACATGGCTTCTTTTTTCGTTGCTTAACCTCGTCAAAGTACATTGTAGCGAACATGATGATGGCTACAATCTTAACCTATTCAAAAGGAGCACATCCAAGCTTCCAACGCATGGTATTACCAAGCGATTACACATCTAGTTACTGACTAGGCACGACGTTGCTTAACCTCGTCTAGATATTGTAGCGAACATGATGACTACAATCTTAACCTATTCAAAAGGAGAACATCCAAGCTTCCAACATATGATATTCCAAAACAGTCACCCATCTAGGTACTGACTAGGCACGACGTTGCTTACCCTCGTCAAAGCACATTGTAGCGAACATGAGATTCCTCGATGACTACAATCTTAACCTATACTAAAGGAGCACATTCAAGATTCCAACGCATGATATTCCCAAACAGTCACCTATCTAAGTACTGACCAAGCACGACGTAGCTTAACCTCGTCAAATCACATTGTAGCGAACATGTTGTTTCCTAGATAACTACAATCTTAACCTCTTCGAAAAGAGAACATCCCAGCTACCAACGCATGATATTCCCAAGCGGTCACCCATCTAGGTACTAATTAGGCACGACGTTGCTTAACCTCATCAAAGTACATTGTAGCGAACATGATATTTCCTCGATGATTACAATCTTAACCTATTCTAAAGAAGCCCGTCCATCTTCCAACGCATGATATTCCCAAGCGGTCACCCATCTAGGCACTTACTAGGCACGACGTTGCTTAACCTCGTCAAAGCACATTGTAGCGAGTAGAAGTGGCTGTTGCATATAGCTACTTCAACAATAAACGGTTGGGATCTAGATGCCACTCAAGTAGCGCGCATCCATGCAGTCGGAGCACCAGAGAGAAAAAAAAAAAAACATCAGGGCAGTTGCCATAAAAATATTTGTAGAAACGACAGAGGGAAGCCACGTCACGTCGGTGAGAAAGTGACTGAAGTCGAGATGCCTGGTCAGGATCGATTATATTACAGATCTCCTTTGGATTTTGACAAGACCCTCGAGATGAGTAGCAGGAGCACTAGACTAGACATGGCAGCAGTATTCAATGCACGGGCGAATGGCAATTTTGTAATTGTGCAAAATGAACTCTGGCGAGAAAAAACTTTTGACACGACACAGTGATCCAAATTTCCTTGCAGTAGATGCAGCTATTCATTTCATGTAGTCGCTCCACTTCAAGTCAGTTATAAAAAAAACTTAATACAAGGGATCAAGAATTGGACCACTGGATCAATTGCCCTCCGAGTTTTTTTTCAACACCGTAAAATGCTAAAATATATTAGTGAGTTATGTTCTTAAATAGCCTTGTCAGCCCACATTGTAGCGAACCGCCCTCATTCCCTTAGTATTCCAGCGCATGGCAGGCCCAAGCGGTCACCCGTCTATGTACTGACTAGGAACGACGTTGCTTAACTTCGTCAAAGCACATTGTAACAAACATCATGTTTCTCGATGACTACAATCTTAACCTATTCAAAAGAAGATCCAAGCTTCCAACGTATGATATTCCCAAGCGGTCACCCATCTATGTACTGACTAGGCACGACGTTGCTTAACCTCGTCAATGCTCATTGTAGCGAACATCATGTTTCCTCGATGACTACAATCTTAACCTATTCGAAAGGAGAACATCCAAGCTTCGAACGCATAGTATTCCCAGGCGGTCACCCATCTAGGTACTGACTAGGCACGACGTTGCTTAACCCCATCAAAGTACATTGTAGCGAACATGATATTTCCTCGATGACTACAATCTTAACCTATTCAAAAGGAGAACATCCAAGCTTCCAACGCATGGTATTCCCAGGCGGTCACCCATCTATGTACTGACTAGGCACGACGTTGCTTAACCTCGTCAATGCTCATTGTAGCGAACATCATGTTTCCTCGATGACTACAATCTTAACCTATTCGAAAGGAGAACATCCAAGCTTCGAACGCATGGTATTCCCAGGCGGTCACCCATCTAGGTACTGACTAGGCACGACGTTGCTTAACCCCATCAAAGTACATTGTAGCGAACATGATATTTCCTCGATGACTACAATCTTAACCTATTCAAAAGGAGAACATCCAAGCTTCCAACGCATGGTATTCCCAGGCGGTCACCCATCTATGTACTGACTAGGCACGACGTTGCTTAACCTCGTCAATGCTCATTGTAGCGAACCACCTTCATTCCCTTCGTCTTTCTATGTTGATATGTAATTTCCACTCGAGCAGCTGCATTCCACGAACCGTTGCTTTGTGAAACCGACTCCCGAGATGATGCTTTCCCGATCACTACAATCTTAACCTGGTTCAAGTGCAGGGTTAACCGTTATCTTCCCCGCATGTCTTCATAAACACTGCCTCGCGTGGCTCCCGCGCCTTGTACCGGATTTATTTGGATGCCATGCAAAGCCTCCATCTCGTTCAGAAACGTCTAAACTATCACCTTCAGGGGTGCTCAATCGGGGTGGGGTCCAAGTTTTCGGTTAGGGGGGGTCTTTTATTTTTCTTGTCACCCCCGATCGAAAAATGATAGAAGCACAAGTAAGACAGTAATACAAAACACATGTACTGGATTCAGTTTATTCACTTCCATTGACGCACGCATATCGAGAAGGTCTGTATGAATACCATCAGTTACCTGAGACAAAATCATACGGCTCCATGTCCTGTGTGATATTTTACGAGGCTGTGTTTCCTTGATTGTTGCAAAGGCTCCCCGAATGACGTCCTTCAACTGTTACGTACTCTGGTATCGTTCATGTTAAACTATCTCCTTCATAATACCTCCACAGAGCGTTGGAATTGAAAATTGACAAGACTTTGTATTCATGTTCAAAAATCCATCGACATTTTCTATTGCTATTAAATTTGTTTGGTTTGGTTTGGATTGTTTTACGGCATATCATCCTCAACGGGTTATTTAATGCCGACAAAATTTTTTACTGCTGGTAATATTTTTCCAAAAAATGTGTTGCTGGTAATATTTTTCCTTGAAAAAGTCTATTTCTGGTAATATTTTTTTCAAAAATATATTTCTGGTAATATTCTTTTCAAAAACATATAGCTGGTAATATTTTTGATAAAAGAAATGTATAGTTAGAAATACTTTTTTTTTTTTTTCAAAAATGTATTGTTGGTAATTTTTTTCAGACTGTATAGCTGGTAATATTTTTTCAAGAATATATTGCTAGTAATATTTCTTTTTCAAAAATTTTATAGCTGGTAATATATTTTTTTCCAAAACGTATAACTGGTAATATTCATTCTATCTATCTATCTATCTATCTCTCTCTCTCTCTCTTCAAAATATATATATATATATATATATATATATATATATATATATATATATATATATATATATATATATTTTTAAATGTATTATTGGTAATAATTTTTTCCTAAAAATTTATTGCTGTAATAAATTTTTACAAAGTATTTGTGGTATTAAAACCTATTTTTACACTTTCATAGTATTTTGACCCTAGTTTGGGTGTTAACTATTTACCTATAGCTGGGACCCTAACAGGTGCTACCATCCCAGGTCAGGGTGGACCTGGGAACACCAGCATTTAAGAAGTGGTTCCACGCTCCTCAAAACCTCCTGATCAGAGGCCCTGCTGCTGGACGTAGTTTATCGTCTTACCCAGGGCGCGGATATAGTTTATCGTCCTACCTAGGACAGTATTAAATTTGTAAGACTCATATAAAAATAATCCATGTATTAATATGGAAACAAATGAAGATTTTCAACGATACGAGGTTTGTCTGAAAGTAATACTCCTCAGGTCTAATGCATTCTTCTCTGCCAGGCTTCTATGCACTGCTGGAAGGATTGTTCTTGGATAAAAATAAAGCTCCGTCGTTACGTCCCTTTTGATGGTCACCACGACTTCAAAACGGGTCCCTACGATGATCCCCTTCAGCTTTGGGAAAAAGAAGAATGACATATGGAGCAAATTCAGGTGTATAAGAAGGTTGTACCATTACGGCGATGTTCTCGGTCAGGAACTGCCGGGTGCTGGAGGCGTTGTGAGCCGGTGCATTGCCGTGGTGAAGCAATTACGATTTGGCCTGCTATAACTCTCGCCTCATCATTTAATCAGGCAGGGGCCATTTTTTCTTTCCGGTGTGCATACGAGGTCTGTCTGAAAGGTAAATGGGACTGCTGTCACAAACAATTCATTGCAATTCCAAACAACAAACTACATGTTTTTCCCTTCAAAGTAATCTCCCACTAATCAGACGCTTCTCTGTAGCTAAATGGTATAGCACGTCAGATCAAATGACGGTTTCCGTATAGGAATACAGGTTCAATTCCTGTCGGAGAATGCATATTTTCTATACTTTTTACACACTTTACTCCTAGAGGCCGTAGCCCAATATATACCATTTTGAAATCAGGCCGACTCCGTGAGTAAATTAAAAACCTTCCAGATCCGCAATCGTGAAATTTTGGATTCCCAATAGATTATATAGAATAATCAAAATTAATTGCGAAATCTCGCGAAAGTCCTCCATGAAATTAAAATAATTGTTTGTACAGAAAGTAAGGACCTACGTACATCAAAATGTCTTTAACGGCAAATTGTCGTGACGGCAGAAGAATTATCGTTAAAAGGTAAGCTTAAATATTAATGCAATACTTCAATGCAGCGATCAATTCTAATCGTCGCTTTTTAAAACAATAAACATTGCCGAGGAGTGAAGGTAGTTAAGATAGTAGCGGTGTCAAGGGAAAAACCGTCATTTTTTTTTTCAGGTACAAGAAATCCTTCATTACATGTTATACGTCATTTATGTAATAATTACTAGAGAAAGCGTCCAACGTTGCCGCATCTGCGTAAATGACTGTAAGACCCTAGCACAACTAAAAAGCCACATCCACATTGCCCATACCTGAGGATGGATCAAGCGATGGCGTTGCT